AAAAAGGATACTCAACATCTTTCAAAGAAATCAATAATTCAAAAAGAAGAAAAAATGTCCATAAACGGTGAAAAATAAATACTGTGCCTGTGCATTTTGGGGTGATTATCAGTGAATAATAACATTTAGAAACACCAAAAACCAGTTTAAATGACAATCAGGTTGCTGCATACTTCAAAAGCCTAACGTTCTCTTATTATTTAGCCATTCACGACTATACATGCTGACAAAAAAGAGCGGAACAGTTGACGTAAGTTTGCTAGGCGACTCCACATCCGTAAGTAATCGAATTACTGAAAAATGAGTCTAACACTGAGCAATGAAAAGCAAACTAGCAAACAACTTGCAGCTTTGACTCAAGAATCGGTAAGCCGACCAGAAAATAAAACCATGATGCTTCTTCCAGCGCAACTAAACAATCTGCGCGCAATAAGTGAAAAAGAAGCAAACGCGTAGATCTATATTGATGTCCTAGATCTCCAGCTTAAGACTCGGATGCACAGAATTCAAGCATTAATTGCTACAGTAGCCGTGTATGCAACTAAACGGAGTACATCTGAATCATTCAGCGAAAGTCCTGAAAACTAGGAGAACCACGATGTTAGTCATGTTTCTCAAATATAGCGCAAACTAGCATACGGTATGCGTACAAAAACCTTCATCTCCGTAAGTTCAATCAGAAAGACTTAATAGCAATGTTAAGCACCAATTTCAAGCAAGAAGTAATCCCTCGTCTCCTCCGTCATTTGCAAAGTTGGTATATGATATAGGAACCAAGCAAGCATTGAGAATGCATGTGGTTATGCTCATGAATAATCGCACACACTTCGCCCACCTTCTACTTTTTATCCTATGAATATTCAGGTTAAATTCAGATTTGCCGCTTCATTGAATAGAAGCAATTTGCAATAATATTAGGTTGTAAAGGAAGTTCCCGGGCACTTACGAAACTTTTTCAAACTGCTGTAACTTCAAGCAGACCGATCCTTTTTGAGAGCTGCAAATTTTGCTGCAAAAACAATGTTTTCTACAAGGTACGCCTATTCTGTTGGGTCCTCAGCACTTCATTCGGACACCAGCATGCGCAGTAGAGAAAAGGGTCCACTTAAAATTCGGCCTGTTAGTGAAGGAATATCTCAAGCGAAGAGAGCTGAAGGGCTCATATTTGGCAGTTATGTAGAACTATGCTAGAACTGTTTACAGACTGTGTCACAATTTTAGAGCACAGCCTGTACTGACAATTTTTTCGAAAAAATTGAAAAATCGGTTATTTTTGCACTCTAAAAATGCCCATTATTGAGTAAATGAGTTTAAAGTCTCCCTTTTTTCCACGGAATGAATCAAATCTTAAATTGCTGCAGATGTTGCTGGGGTAATGTCTTGTACATCTTTTGGGCCCATCGCCGAGGCGTGACGATCCTCATTAAATCGGCGCCAATGCGAAAATAAGTGCGGTCAAAGGAAAGTTTGAGAGCTTGTAATTCTTGTACGCGTATTGAAAATCCTACCACATCTGCAGTATTGAGGTGGACAGCTTCCTTATTCAGACTGACCAACTCTTGAATGGTTCTCTTTGTTCGCTGCGAAAAAAATGGCAACAAAAAGAAAAATTGTGAAATTTTCATCGCTGCACAAACTTCCCATTTTGGTGTGTAGGTCGAATACGGACATCGATAAAACGGATGCGTTTTCTGCGGATCTATATCAAATATTTGTCATTCAGCAAGTGCAAAAAAACGAGTGTGAAAGTGAGATTTCCAAAACTGGCCGGGAACTTTCTTTACAACCCAATGATAACCAAACATTTACCAGGAAGCCTTACAACAGCAAAAATGATTGAAATCTTACGAAAGAAGACTCAAGAACTGAGCGTTTATAACGACGACATTCTACAAGCTAAGAAAAAGCATATCTCGCAATGTTCGAACGCCGCATTCGCACCCGCTTCGCAGAACATAATCAGCTCCTTCGTCGGGCATGGGAATTTGTGTATCAAAATGAGAATTATATATTTGCAACAGCCTTCATGCATGAGAAAAATAGTTGCACACGATAACAGCCAAAAAATGATTTAAGATGAATCGAAAAACACTGAGGAAATTCTCCTAAGCTTCAGAAGATCAATCTCAAGATATATGACAGCGTTTCAGCTAAAAATTAACGAGCAATGCCTTTGGGCGCCCATGTTCGACCATGGACCTGTGCTTCACGCGCTAAACAAATAGAAAACGGATTAGGCCCAACGATGTGTGGTCCCACCCCCTGCGAGAAAAACTAGCAATCAATAGGAAGCTTTATTCCACCGACAGACTAAGCATGAATTTAGAGCCGGCCTTTTTGCACACACACCGCTACTAGCCAATTATTCTCCGAGTTCTGCAAACACTAAACTTTACAAGAAAATCAGTATTCGCGAGCGAAAGCTCTGCGCGCAACCACACATGACGTCCACTTCAAACGACTTGCCGAGCTATGCATACTGTAACGGTGCAAAAAGGTCTTTTCTAGCGAGGCAGCACACAGCCTGAAAAAAGGTTTGCGCAACGATGAATCCAGCAGTTTATACAAAAAGAAACCTATGTAAGCAATAAAATTGTCTCATAAACTACAAGAAGTCAAAAAAGCAATTTGGCCGAAACGAGAAAAAATGCCATGAAAAACCCAAACCTTTCACACAAGCCAAACTTCAGAACAAGGAAAAAAGCGAACAATCGTCTACAATATAAGTTATGCAACGAAAAAGTTATGGGCTGCGCGCAACTACTAAGAAAAGAAAAACTGCACGCGTAAAGCAATTTTGGCTGAATAGCCGGTAAATGCGAAAACTTGATTTCGATTGCATCTACTGACTTCATGGGCATACACTTTACTTTCTCAACTGATGCAGGGAGTGAAAGCGAAAGAAGAATTCTTTATCAATGTGAGCAAATTCTAAGGTTCTTCTCAGATTTCACGTTACATATGTCTTCAAAAACATTTTCTTACTTCTCAGCGAAAACAGTGAGCGTTACAGCTGGTCCACTGTCAAATCGTTCTATATTAGAGAAGTCTAAGAATTGGACAAAGGGATTGACACCACCGTGATCGCGAAGCGATCAACTGAGATACGCACCCACAGTATAGTGCATTCGAAAAATCGTGACGATGGAGCGACGGCGCGCGACACACACGCAGCTTCCGGCAACCGCATTCCTTGATTTTAATCTCTACTGGACTGGTTTCTCTGCTTAGGTATGTTAGTACTTGGACACTAGAAGTGACTGAGCCGAGCGTTGAGATCATTCCTTTATGTATGAGGATGTTATTATGCTCCTCTTGGCGCAAAGACCGCAGTCAAATCCGTCGTCACGATTTCATAAATGAACCTTACCTCACCCAACAAGGAATACGGTAGTATATGCATAGAAACATCCATCCAATAATGGCATAGTTGGAATGACTCAGATATCAAGTGACTATGGAAATGAAAGAATGACGTTTCGCATTAATATTCCACTTACACAGTGCTTCAGACAACCAAACGATCAGATGTTCGGATAGTTACGCACTCCATGTTGTTAATGGAGCGGCGCATGAACAGAATAATCGAGAACGTGAAAAAAAAGATGACTTGGCTTTTGAAATGGAATTTCGAATAGAAATGTCGAATTACAACTGCTCTAACTGAGCAGACTTTGTGGAATTGTAGACGTTCTCCAATTGATATACCAAGAAGATCGTAAGGCAAAAAACATATAGAGTAAAACCAAAAGTTGGTGATGGAAATAAACTTTACGTAGAACACGTAGAACATCAAAGTTCAACTTTTTTCAATCTCCATAGTGCTAACATAAAAGTAAAGTAAGGTAATAAAGAGCGGCTAATTGTAAGTGACGAGCAACTGACTAGAACGCAAAAAGGGCAATATCTGGACATATGATGTGGTCTTGTAGTCAAGGCATAGACAACCCAGCATTAGTGCAGGATTTCAACATCACAAAGAGTACTGACACTAGGCCCCAATCCCAATTTTCCGCACAAGGGAGAAATGAGTGGGTTATGCCTTGCGCATGAGCGAAAAGATGAAAAAAGATGTAACGAGAAACAGAAAAATCAATAATTTTCAATGGAAAACAAAAAGTTTTCCACACCTGAGTAAAACGGAGCTGAATTTGCAGCACACATACCACACTTGTCGTTCATTTGAATATAGAAACGCTGCAATTATCAAGATAGAAAACAGGTACGGATACACGCTTCATTGCATTTGACCAAGCAAAAAGTAATTCCATAAACGATTTTTTCATAAATGAGAAATGTTGTATGCATGTGCGAGAAGCTGTAATTGACTACAATTACAGACATCATAAAAAGTCTGCAAAAGAGAGAGTAGTTGGAAACACATAGAAGAAAAGAAATTTCACTGCATTCACTTCAAATTCACTGCAGTATGCATTTTGCAGTGTAGGGCGAACTATACTAAACGCATGAAAATTCTATAGAACGCGAGCTTTTTTGACTCTGTAGTATAGAAAAGATGTATATCAGGAATTTAGTCAGCGCCAGACATGGATAACAATTGTCTAAACTTCAAGTTCCCTCGCTATTCCTCACTACTACCATCAGTCTCGTAATTCTTCATCTACAAACTTGATTTTCCCAGCTCAGATTTACTCATCAATATTTTCCAGCTCAGATTTATCCGAAACATCTCATTTCCCGAATCGCTGCCGCCAAGGCATCCATGCAAATTCACACTTGTTTGCTTGTGGAAGAAGAATGCTTCCGATTCTTTGCCAGACCATTGAGACAAGCACAGCTAACAAGAACAAGACAGTCAAAAGCTCAGAATTTGTCTTTGGCCCCACTAAGTGCAACCAATACAACTGGGCACTTGCACGATGACCCGAAAATTATGCTTACAACTCCTAATTCTTTTTACTAATATTATTTCTTGAAAAAAAAAGGAGCATTCAATGAAAGATAATCTGCTACAGCAAAGAATTTTGAAGCGAACTCACCCGAGGAGTAAGAATGTCCTCGAAACGCATGTCCTTCAAGTCCTCTCTAACGTCTTTCCCTGTTTCTACACCCAGGAAAACCTGCAAAGACCATATGTTTCATAAACATCTGACTACAGTAAAAAGCACGAAAAGTACGTCGAGATAAACAAATATTCACAGACGAGTAGAAGCTGCAATGCTGTGATCCTTGGCTGCCTACGCATAAACTACACTGTCCCAGTATGATTTGGGAGCCGTGACCGCGCCGCTGCAGTAGCCGCAGTGCGTGCATTGTCTGCATTTAATGGCAAGAACTTGATTCTAATTGGTCATTTCACTTTCATAAAGTCTGCAAGAGGATGGCAAGTGAGAAACTTAGAGCAACATATTGTACAATTTTTTGATGGCAGATAACGTTTCATTTCATTGCATTTTCAGAGATGTGTAGGTAAACAGATTCGAATGATTGAAATTTTCTCAGCTGCCCTCGTAATAAAGGGATATGGGAATGTTGAGAGGCATGTCGTCAACTTCCAGATGTGCCGATATAGGGGCCTGCAGGATCGCGAGAGTCGGACGTGCGTACGGCCATTGCGCCGCGCACGTCCGATGTCACTAAGGCAGGTGCCAGACTTATCCGTTTCAGCCGGTTCGTTCGGTTCGTAGGTCAAATCACTACACTGTCCAGCAGAAAAGTGATGAACCGAATAAACCTGCTCAACAGAATGACTCTGGCACTTACCTGAATCGTCGGACGCACATCTGACGTGCGCGGCGCAATGGCCGTACGCACGTCCGACTCTCGCGATCCTGCAGGCCCCTATAACTGTCATTGTCATCCCTGCACAATACAATTTCAATGTCATGCAGCGCCTGGCACGAAGTGGATCTCTAATGTTGGACTTTCAAAAAGCAATTCTTTCCGTGCAGAATTGAAAGTTCAGCCTTGTGCTTTACACATTTAATAAATCGCTGTGAACTTCATACGGCAACTTTTTGTGAACCAAAAGTGATCCCTGCTCAATTCAAAACCAGTTCTACCACAGCTGCCGTCATAATCAACCTGTGCACCGATTGCGGACCGCACCGAAATTAAACGGCTCCATGTCAGGAGTCACGCCGCGCGCCGCGCCGCTTTGCCGCGCACGTCGCGTCTAAATTTTGTACCCCATAAAACTGCCCGGTGCTAAAGTGGCACGGCGCCAGTCTAGGGGGGTGGGGTGGGGGCAGGTACATGGCTCGTGCCATAAGTAAGACTGCGCCAGGAGTGCTGGCTTCTGTTTTGCTGACATCGCTTGCGGCATCGCTTCGCGAAAAATTCGCGCCGACCGTGACTCCTGACCGTTCCCCAATTAAACGGCGCGCAATCGGCATTTGACATCGCGTATGCAAGATTCAACGTCGCGTCAATGTGTATCTTCCAATGTATGCTGGTTTCATATGGTGTTAAAGGCAGCGTCCAGGCAAGTCTGGACACATGGGGAAATGTGGAAAGTATTTTTGGGGTCCTAATTAAGGCACTGCCCAAGCGGCAGCGCAGGTAGGGCTCTAATGGTTGAGATACTCCCCTCGAAACTGGACCCCGCGACCGTATTCCGCATGGATTCATGGTGCAAAGCATGGATCCTAGAGCGAAAGTGCCATGAATCCATGCGAATACGATCGCTGGGTCCATTTTCGAGGGGAACTCAGCCGTTAGAGCACTACCTGCGCTGGCGCTTGGGCAGTGCCTTAGATAGGGCCCCAAAAATACTTCCCACGTAAAATCCCCATAGGTCGGATGATCTTGGGGATGGGTATGATCTCAAAGGCAGCGTCCAGACCTGCCTGGACGCTGCCTTCAAGATCATACCCAAGAATTTTCCTGCCCGATTATGAAAGTGTATTGCACGCCGACACACAATGAAAAACTGACAGAACCGAGTTCTGCGCAGGTTCAGGTTCCGCAGTTTTGATCACGATCCAATCCGGATCTAAGCGCGTGTGGGTGGTATAAGTGCACCGTCTGGTAAGCAATCTTGATTTTTATGAGCGCTGTAGTGATACTATCTAATATGCGTAAAAAATAACTCCGTCCAAAACAAACTTTATTTTTGGGTTCACCCCATGAATTTCTGCGAACCACTAAACGGAGAAATACTGCATGAGGGTACCGTCCACCCAGATTCTCGACTTCCAAATTTTGATCGTTCTGGAGCCTTCTCATGTCCCTAATTCCGAATACGAAGTCGAGAATCCGCGAAAACCCGACATCCCGTAGAAATCGCAGGCCGGCTTTCCAGAACGGTGAATGGATTGGCGCGCATGAATGCGGGCACTGCTGGACGGGGCGGTGCTGACTTGGGGTCCGCATGCATCTTCGCTATTCCAAAGCGATTTTCTCGCTTCCGAAGCGACATTTTGTGCCGCGGCTTGAGCATTGGCTTGATAGAGGGTCCTACAATCGTAAGCTGCCAAAAACTCAAGATCCTTAACTCAAGGTGAACGGTGCCTCCAAATGTTTGAACTCGTACAGTCTGTCCCATCGAGATCAGCCCGGACCTTTTCACGCCCGCAGCGCTAGGGGTTTGCCGCTGTATATGCGCACGTCGGAGAGAGCGAAGGGATTGAAGAAAGAGCGGACATGCAGGCTTGGCGTGACGCAAAACCCTTGTGATGCGGAGTGCCGCCATGCCAATTTTGGCTTAACTGATGGGACAGACTGTATAGGTCATTACTGAAGTCGTGACGACGAGTTTGAATGCAGTCTTTGCGCCAGGAGCATAAAACACCCACACAAACAAGCATCACCTAAACACTCAGCTCAGTCACTTCCAGTGTCTAAAACTGTCATATGTTTGCAGAGAAACCATTCGAGTGGAAAGCGAACCAAACTGCAGCTGTTGGAAGTGCGTGAATATCACGCGCGGTCGCGCCATCGTCACGATTTTTCGAATGCCCTAATAGGGCGCTATACCACATAAGCTGAGCCAAAAAATGAAGATCGTGAATTTCGCTAAAACTTCGTCTAGGGAGGTTATTTGGTACGCTGAACACGAATATGATGTTTATCTCGTGCGACAGCGAAATCCGGTGGAGTTACGGTAGGATTACGGTAGGGGGTCAAAATCACGGATTTGCCCAAAACTTGGCCTAAAGGGGTTATTCGGCCCGCTGACGCCGAATCTCACATTGGTTTCGTACTGTAGTGTCATTTTCTCACACGGTGGGTATACGGTAGGGGGTCAAAATCTCAAAATTCGCTGTAACTTTGCACAGAGAGGTTATACGACATGCTGATTAGAAATGTCACACTTTCTCCGCACGAAAACGTCTCCCTGCATGGTTACAGTAGGTTTACGGTAGGGGTCAAAATCACAAATCGGCAAATGTATCTTTCCTCTGTGCTTTGCTTAGGCAAAAGCCGCAGCAGAGTGTGTAGCGCGCGGCAATGGTCATGTGTGCAAAGCTTCACGATCATCCGAATCGCCATACACCCGTTTCGGGATGAACTATGTTTTACACCCGTTACCGTGTATCTACCGTAGCCCGAGAAAATGACGCTACGGTTCAAAACCAATGTGATATTTGGCATCAGCGGGCCGAATAACCCCTCTGGGCCAAATTTCGGGCAAATCCGTGGTTTTGACCCCGTACCGTAATCCTACCGTAACTCCACCGGATGGCGCTGTCGCACGAAATAAACATCATATTCGTGTTCAGCGTACCAAATAACCCCCCTAGACGAAGTTTTAGCGAGATTCACGACTTTCATTTTTTGGGTCAACTTATGTGGAATAGTACCCCTAAAGCTTCCGTGCGTGCACAGTTGAAGCGCCGTCCACGGCAGGCAATGCTACCGTGCAAACGGCCTGTATTACGATTGCTCGGGTAGGGGAACGAAAGCCGCCAGTTTGAGACGTCTTTCGCGGCCAACTGGTCTTTTCGCGGCGTTGTTGCATGTCGTTCCAGGACCAGTGGCGGCTTTCGTTCCCCTACCCCGATTGCTCGAGCGAGCGGTTAGCATTGCGTCCGTTTAATCGGTCGGCAATACTTGTTGCCGTGCAAGCGGCCACAGTGACCTCTATCTTCGGCTCATTATTTTCACACATTGTGAGCGTAAACGGTGCCTGCGTGAGATATGACGCAGCGTTTAGGCTGGCTAAGCGTCGTCATATCGTGTTATCAACATTTTCCTTCGCCGCAAGGCTGGAATGAACCTGTGTGAGGCTACAAGTATCAAAAGTGATGGTGTGGGCTCCCCATGAAAATTTGGCTAATGCTGCAGGCATCGATCTACGTTCCCAGAATGTGAAAAGGATTAACACATCCAGGAATAATGGTCAAAATACCCCATACAAATTTAAGCAGCAAGCGAGCGGCCGACCTTACCCGCGTAAGCGGCGAGCATGAGAAACCGTGCGGGCGCCCCACGTTAACCGTGCCAACGGCCCTTGATGACCGTACAATCGCACACACCGACGAGCAATTGTAAGTTCGTCGCTGGCCGCCCGCACGGTGCGAGTCCCTGAGTAGCAAACGTATGTGAAATACGCATTTGCACAAAAAAGTAAGTTGAAACATAAAATACTGATAAAGAAGGAATACACTGCGGAAATTGGTATTCTTGAGACCATGGTGGAAAGCCAAGAGACATGCCAAGAACTAACAGCTGCAAGCTCAACGACGATCATTACCTGCCGTAGTAACGACATCGCCACGTACCCAAGTCAACAAAAAAAAACCTTTCAATGCCTGGACGAAAGGTGATTAGCCAATGTAGAAAGGAAGTCTGGTAGCTATGCCGTCAGTCTCGGATATGTGCTCATTAAGGAAGCTATTCTCTTCCCCATCTGCAAATTGTACTGCAGCACATGGAAAAGGACAACGAAATTGCGCACAAACTTTTTTCTAATCCCCCTGCATCCTCAGTAATTTAGGATATGATGTCATACGCTCGCTATAGAGAATAGAGCCTGAGAGTAACACCCACACGAAAAAAAAGTAGGATGAGAATTACGATTCGTTATAAGAGGATTTTACTTCCAAAACAAGCCAGCAAGCTCATGATTCTAAATAAATGAACCAGAATTTTGATGCGGTAGAACAAGTGGAACGATTGGTTCAATTACCTCTCAGCATGAGAGAAATGAATTAACGGTTTCTGCATCAGCATTTCTCTAAATGGTGAAGCGAAGCACCATAAGCTCAGCGAGGAAATTTCCAGGAAAACCGAGAAAGGGTAGCGAGAGAAAATGCTCAGAGCTGAAACATGTTTCTTAAAAAGTGGAATGTGATACGCATGCAGACGTGTGTGTTGGACAGATGGCATTAGCATTTTAACTTTAGTGGAAACTAAATGCCAGATTATTCTCTCATAGAGCGTTTTTGACATTCTGTCTGCGTACTGGATCCTCTAGCTGTAAGACGCTTACAAGCACGAGGGGCTGAAAAAACTCTGAGCTGCAGCCCCATAATTCTTCTTCTGCGATAACCAAGAGTCCAAGCTGTAGTCATTGTGGCAGGGAAATAGACGCCCATAAATGTACAGTTGATTCGTTGACCGGCCGCGCGTGGTCCGCAGGGGATGAGCAGTCCGTGCGGTCAACGAATCAACGATACCAGATCGCGGAAAAATAGGAACTTGGTTTGTATAGCTTTTTTTACAATCTCACAATGGATGTAGGAACTGTAGCTTCACAAAATTCATAACATCCAACCGAACCCGTAATTATAGAGGGATTCATCGCACTCACGGACTGGACGCCGTTGCGGCCGGCTGGGATAGTTTGTGCATGGGAGATGCAACAGACGGCAAGAGGAACGAAGGAGCGCTCACCAGCGGGACGCCGACAACGTCCATTGTGACGCACTGTTTTTGTTTGCAATGAATCGCCTATACAATTTGAAATTTCAAAATGACCTGCATCCAATCCACCTATCCTGCGTTTAACACCCTTGTCTATTCTCTTTTCCCCCTAATTTTGTGCTGTTCCATTTCAGGACATCGGGTCAAAGTTCTTCCGCTTATCGTAATAATTGCGGTCGCGTGTTCAAGCCAAACTTGTTTGCCCGACCGGATTTGCATCAAGGGTGAATGTCATCGCACATTGGACCGCATTTGATCATTAAACCATAGACAATTCAAACAAACTGTGCAGATTGATAGAAAGAAAAAAGCCTAATCCCCTTGACCGCAAGAGCTTCCAATCATCCTACAAAAAGAATGGCGTAAGCAAAACGCATTTAGCTGGAACCATTACTGCGAATGCTATTCATCCATTATTTTTATATGAACAGATGTCAGAAGAAGAGTCCGACAAAGCCATATCGATCCCTTGATTTTGGGAGTACTCATGATCGCCGGGTGCAAAGTGTGCTGCTCGCAATGACATCGAGATTCTCAGAAATGAACGTTGAAGATGTGGGAGTGAAGCAGCCAATCGCCACTCCGAGTAGGTAATCCTACCCTTCCCAATTGACTAATTGCTCCCACACTCAAGCATTCATTTGCCCTTCCAAGAAAAGTTCATTATTTTTAAATTCCTAAAGCTGGGCACTTAACCATGGTTTCAAAAGAAGGATAACGTGGTCTAAAGAAGAGAGATGCCAGCGTTAAAGATGGTCAACACAACTAGGAGTGGTATAGCCAATGTGACGGTTGATATGGTGCCCATGCGGTGATAACAACGCTTGCGCGATGCCTACGACTTGCGCGAAAAAAGCCCTCAGAGCATAAGTTCCCAAGTTTTTTTCCGCCTGCGGCCACTTCCCACGCGCACGTGATGTCGGCGATGCAATGGCACCATACTGATTATGAGAAACGTGTACTGTTCATCAGCCTTTGAAATTACACATTTCACTCAGTAAAGGGCAGAATGCAAAGAATGGGGGCAATTCGCCAAACATTAACGCTCAGAATGTTTTTAGATCTCATACGCAGGTGAACCGCGTCGCCACATCTGGTCGTAAGTGTCGCTGTTGTCTGCGCCAATGAATAAACTGTACGCGCATATCGATCTGCATTTTCAGATATCTTTGTCCAATGATAAGAATTGCGACTGAACAGAAATTACAAACGCCTCACTTAAAGTATAAAAAACTACTTATCGTGCATCCCCTAGAAGTATTCCCAAATGACATCAACGTGGCTGCCTTTCGATCGTTTTAACGTTAACTCCAGTAAATTATAGGCACTTATTCGAAGTTGACATGTTAAGACGGTCGAAAGGCAGCCACGTTGATGGTTCATATGGAAACAATCCTGAGGGATGCACCATATGCAATCATGGAAAACCATAATGCAGCTTGCTTCCAAACAAGTTTTCACACATTTTCAACCTTTTCCAAATGCGCGAAATGAAAGAAAATGAAAAATACTCGCGCTCAGCAGTCTGGTTCTATACATCTCAAAGGTAAGTGGCTATCATTTGATAAAGTAGTTAATCAACAATTCTTATTTTCTGCCGATACATAGAGATTCATATCGTATTTTTCCAAGAGCTCGATACAAAAAGGATGAGGAAAACATCACAAATGGAGGAAAGCGAATGAGCTAGAAAAAATTGGCATGCAAGAGGATCTCTCCCACTCCGATTACACCAACCACGCCTAGACCCTTAAGATATGAATAGTCCAAGTGCAGTCAACACGAAGATAAATCGATGTGGCCGGCGAAATTGCTGCTTGCGTTAATCCCATTCGAAAAAATCGCATTGACCTAGATTTTCAGCAGCGATAAAACACAGAGTCTCTACAGGATGCATACCAATCGGTAAACAAGGAACTTAGGGAAGCACCCACTATGTCAAAACAATCAAAAGCCAAACAAAAAAAAGTGCTTAAACATCCCCCAACCAAACAACAACTTCCCGAGTTATACTGACAATAAGTTGGAGATGCTAATATGGAAGAAGAAAAAGATTTACGTCTTAAAACTTAATTAACGAGCAAAGAGACCTCAAAACGCATAACGCAAAACTTCCTTGCGAAGAATAACTTCGCTGCCGTGGGTCATCTCCGGCGATGCGCACGCGACGCGGCTTGACCCATCGCCAGTCACAGATGTTTTTTGTTTACCAAGCTCGTTTTCTCTTATTTTTTCATGTTTTCCCGCAAAGCTTAATATTTTCTCAACCACTTATGTTTGTGGGGCATAATTAGTCATTCTTATCACTCTATTTCCACTTGAGTGCTCTACAAGGACATTTCTGATTTATTGTTTTGTACAAATTCTGCAATAAATTTCTTCCCTAATTGCTTGTATATTTGTTACAAAAACACCAACCAGTTTGGACATCATCATTTCATTACTATTGTATCGCAGCCCCTGCTGGATCGATCCCGTCAGTGTTCGTTGCCATTATTTCAATTTTAGGATATTATGTCAAATTTCCAAGTTGTTTATCGCCAGAAGATCAATTCACATTGGAATACTGAATTGATTTCAGCCTTTAAGACTCATTTAATTTTGCTTTAAGAAATACTCCCCTTTCCACCTCCAAATCATATCTCGAAAAAAGTGGTTGTCGATCAAATTCATTTTGGAAGTTCCTGAATTGCTTGTAAGATCTGACCCACATCGAAACTCCAGGCAAGTTGGTCTGTTAGTCTGGATATGCTCTCAAATTGATAGGCGGTGTTGGCTGAAGATGAAGACATTTGTCTCTCCTCTTCATGTGAATTCGATACAGGAATGACTTTTGCAAATTCATGTACGTTTTTATCGATTGTTCTGCACTTCTGTCACATGCTCGAGGTCCTTTTTTCTTGAAAGCAAGTTTTATACCTGCAAAAATTCAGCTATAACTCCGTCAGATGTTTGCAACATCTTGTCTTAAAACGTTTCTGTCACAGTTGAGGCCTATCTAACCTGTCTAACAAGGGAATTCACTTAACTTAGGTCGGGCTTTTTAAATGAGACACATATATTTAGAATCAGCTCGGAACGCTGATTGCAAATATGCTATCCTTAGCTGCGAAGCGTTTCTCTGAAGCGAGTTATGAGCTTTTTTAGTATGTGACATTGACATGCAACTGAATATGGAAAGAAGGTCTATGGATGAAAATCTGTCCAAAAAGTGGTGGAAAATCAAAACGACATCATATCGAGTCAATTGGCTTTGATAGGGTATAATATGCATTTGAATCACTACCTAGATGATGATACCGTAGCATGCCTAAGTCGGTCAACGCGCAAATTTTGCTCAGGAAAAAGCTCAAAACTCGCTTCAGACGAACGCTTCGCAGCTAAGGAAAGCAGATTTGAAATCAGCGTTCCAAGCTGATTCCAACCATATGTGGCTCATTTCAAAAGCCCGACCTAAGTTAAGTAAGATCCATCTTGATCCCTTGTAAGATCTATCTTCATAGTGATGAAAGTTGTGTCGCTTTTGTGTCGCTCAGTACTCGCATATAAGCATTCTCCATTTCATATTACATCTGAACTCTCTGTGCTATTAAACAGTACTTCTCTCCATCAAGCTAGAAAATTTCTTTATCGATCAGGTGCTATAAATCTCGTTTTTTTTGCAACAGATAATTTGCTTGAAAACTCTCGCTGATTAGAAAGGCTGGGCCGCTGTGATCGTTGCATAATGTGCTGAAGTATTAGAAAGCAGAAACGCTCATTTAGTTTTTGATCGAACCATTTTGTTTAGTTTTAGCCTTCTTCAGACCTCTCAACAGTTTCAATAAAAGGCCGGGCATATAACACGCGATTCCTCCGACAAGACAACTGTTAGACGTTCGTTACAGCCCATCATCTTGCATCTCGGTTGTGATAGTTCTCCGGCACGACTAATCTCGGCTATCTATCACAACTGGAACTCAAAGTGATGGGCATGCAATGGACTTGTAGCAACTGTCTTGATGAGAGAATCGCGAGGCGATGAAATCGCGTGATTCGTGCCCGACCCCTAAATTCGAGATTTATCGAAGTTTTTTTTTCTATAATACCGTAGTTGAAATTCCGGACGAACTACCGGGTAGATGACTATTAGATGCAGACTAAGGACAATTTCATGGCGCCGCTGCACTTTGTGCATTTTGCGTATCTTCTGCGCTGTTAGCCCAATGTCTTAGGTGAGGACAGTTATAGCTGAACCTTTACGTGTGCTCACCTAGAAAAAGTATGGAAAGGCGACAATTTCAATAGGCACAGTGGTGCGGTCGAACTGCTTGCTTGAAAAAAATGAGAAAAGTGCGTCTTATACTCGTGAAATTAGGGTAATCTCTTCTCAAGTTGACTTCCACTATCCCATGTTTTCCGCATCGCTGAGTTATTCCTCGTAACTTTCCATTTGCAATCTCACCACAAAAACTTTTCAGGATGGCTGCAGCTAAGGAGGACGGTGAGGGATCGCCAGTGGATACCAACGAAGAAAGTCTTTCTCATCGAAAATCGGAAGCTCTGCGTTCGAACCGATATATCAAGGTAGAAATTGTTTGCACAGCAATTGCTATGTATCCATAATGAACTGGGGCTCCAACAAGCAAATATACTTTCAGCCGGAACCTGTTGATGATTACGAAAATGAAAGTGCTTCCGGTCCTCCTTCGCCGCGCATGAGATACAAACGTCAGTGCGCTGAGCTAGCCATCAAGAAGATTAAACTGGAAATGCAGCCTGGTCATTTCGATCCCAATAAAGTAAGTCTGTTCTAGCCCAAATGAGTTCACTCCAGACGGGTCGCGTGATTTGGCTATCTCTTTGCGTTGGCGATGATAATAATCTTTCCGCTATGTGATATGCTTGTTGAGAAAAGTCCACAAAAATTGATTAAAGCGTCAAACCCATTTACACTGGCAATCGGATTGCCGTATAATGGTTGCCGTATTTTATGGGAGCGCCGGGGAAGTGTTCGCTGCCTTTGAGTCGTGCATCTCGATCACATACCGAATACGCTTATAAACGCATTGTTTGTGATTCTGTTCTCTCTGAGTCCATGTTGTTTTAAGCAAAATATTTTTGAGCAGTCTCATTATATTGAGAAACCCCTAAAAATCAGTTGTAGCATACCACTTCTTCCTATCATGTAGCCAAATTTAGGAGAAGAAAAATGGTGGAGAATCACGTGAAGGCTCGTGTGATCGAAGTGAATGTGCGCTACAGAAGACATGCTCGCTGAATCTCGTTCCAAAGTTTGTGCAGAGATTGTAACGTTTTATCGCATCGCTTCCTAAGTTTTTGAGTTTTCAGCTGTCTGAAAACCGTGACGGATGCTTGCGGCAAAAATTTTTATCATCTTACAAAAGGCGAACATGTCTGTGGTCCTTGCTACGATGAGCTTTGGATGACGTGAGTGATATTGCTTTTCGATGGTGTATACACGTTTCCTATGAAAGGTTACAAAATATGTTTCACCTTCCATGTTTCATATGTGTGCTCAAGGCGTTCCATAATAATTTTACTTTCAACGGAAACGTTTTGCTAGCAAAGTATCAGAGTAGGATTGTTCCACAATATGTTAATTTTTTTTTATTAGGTTATTAGGTTGTATTAGGTTGTCAATAATGTTTGCACTAGAGCGACTTCGTTCAAGCCCTAATCGTTTCATTAATCAGTTTACCACATTATCACCATTGATTGCAGAGGACATATCCATGCTCAGCACTTTGCCGACTGGAAAGTGACCTGGTGCAAAATGAGTCGTTGCTTCCCTACACCAAGATTTTTTGTGCAGGTGAATTGATTCAAAACTGGCGATGCTATCCGAGTATCCCTCTGTGTTTCTAGGATCAGCTGCTCCCATACTGGCTTGAGTGCACAAAATGTCACAAATACCGCAAATATGACTCAGAGGCGTTGAAAGTGATTACCGTTTCAGAGATTGAAAGCTTCATTTGCATCGATTGCTCTGCACCGGAGGATAGGGTAGGTGGCCTTCCATCAATAGTATTTTGAGGAATAGAAGCTCACTTTTAGCTAGCGATAGAAGCTCGTAACCCGAACTGGATTTTATCGGCTGCAGTTGCTCCTTTGCTGCATAATTCGCCATCTTTGTACTACCTGAAGGATCATTACTATCTGGATGAGGTTGGAGTTAGCCCGGCTGCTGCCAGCTATCCGGAAGACATCAGTAAGCTGCTCAAGCCTTTTTTTTGTTGTTCTGGGATGTCCTTTTCTAGAAGTTTTCTCTTTTTTCCAATATCACTAACTTCAGCCGTACCTTCATCGTCATTTATGGCACCTTTTCACATACCTGAACAGCCTATGGCCTTCTGTGTTCGGCCGGATGTGATGGAATACGATGAACTGGTAATCATTAGATTTTTTTTTGGGGGGGGGGTGGGGAAATTTCGTTCTTTTTATCAATTCGTAATTCTAGAAACGTTTCCCACAGTACTCTGCAGAGCCAATCATATATCTTGGCCTTCGTAATCTCATAATCACTCTTTGGAACATGAATCCGTGTGTGAGTTTCTTATTGTGAGATGGTTTTGCATGCTCCAAAGTCTTCAGTTGTAGGAATATCTTACATTTGATCGTTGCAAGAATAATCTTATCTCACGTGGGCTTTGCCGTATATGGCAAATTCAAGAAATGAAGAAGATCTATGATTATTTAAACGTCAAATGCATAATCAATATAGGACTCGTCAGCATTCCTCCGGCTTTAGAAACGAGATCAAAGGTAATTCTTGCTTTTTTTGGGGAGAAGTAGGGGCGGGGGGCGAACAGTAAAATTTTGGTGTTTTGTAGCGCACTCCGAACGTGTTGATCATTGGAGCAGGGATAAGTGGACTTGCTGCAGCACATCAACTGCGATCACTTGGTGCCAAAGTGACGCTTTTGGAAGCGAAGGATGTTTTGGGGGGCAGAATGCAGGTCTGTTCTTCGCAATCCTTATCTTACCGTATTTGAACGAAGAATTTTTCCTTTAGGATGATCTTAGTTTGGGGATCCCAGTTGGTCATGGTGCGCAATTGATCACAGGGATCATGAACAATCCGATCGTTGTTATGTGCCATCAGGTTGGTTTGGCTTTGTCTGTGTTTATCTTTTCTGAACACTCGCATTTTGTAGGCAAACATTCCTTATCGCCCGCTACATCGAGAATGTGCAATGATGGACTCAGCTACTGGGAAAGTTCTGAATCATAAAGTGAATTTTTTTCTTTGATTTGCCCTTCGCTTTTCCCTTCCTTCGCACTAAATTTGATTCGCATTTCATTTCTATTTCTATCTATATTCTACGTCCTGTATACATAAGTGAATTTTTACATGATCGTACTATAGGTCGATTGGATTGCTGAAGAGCACTGGAATTGTATACATGACATTTTGGGATACTGGCGTTCACACAGCAAAGCACCCGATCGGAGCTTGATGGGTGAGCTGTTTTGATGAGTCCAACGGTAGCGATTTGCGCGGAAAAATCGATGGATCTCGTATCCGCGGTTGCAGCGTTCAAAGTGCCTTGCTTTTATATAGGCTTGGTTTTTATAGCGAGCTAGCCAAAGGAAAAAGTTATGTGGCGCGTCGCCAGACTACGTTGTTTGCTCAACAGATTCGCGCGAAGACTTGACCCTTGCTCTATCGAAACTTTTTTGTGTGATACTATATTTGTAAATCATATTATTATCTGATTTTTGGTTTTCCAACACTTTTACGATCTTGTTCTGGCAATATTGCCGTCGAATGGCTGAAAAAGGCACTCTTAGTTTCTTTCACAACAGCGAGAAATTCAACGCAAAATTCAGCGGAGTATCATTTTGCTAGTTTTTTCTGGGCAAGTTTTTTACTGCTTCACATCGCACACGTATTCAACCTGCAGCCCACTTAGTATGGGTATGTGAAAGTTGTAACACTATAAACTACACTTCGCAAATAACGCGACAGCTGCGTGGTCGGTAAAGTGCAATGGCGCCGTTTTGGAGTGGCAGTGACGACTGTCTTATTGAGTCTGCGAGTCATATGTAATTGATTTGCCGTATGTTTTGTGTTTTTCATCTTGTTTCATGAGTGTGACGACGAAAAATGGGCAAAAAGGGTCGCAGCTGTGGCTATGAAATTTTTTATGAATCGTATTGATGTGGCTAAAACAAAACGAATATCCTATTGTTATTTCTCAAAGTTGTACATTTTTTACAACAATTTCTCAGGGTTTTGCTCACAAGTTGATCTGTAAATTTTTGACAGTATCTAACTTTCCCATTTGTTTACTAAACACTTGAAGACCTTGACTATTTTTCGACATCATGTTTGACTTGTTTTTCCACCCACGTTTATGAACCAGGTCCATGTTTTATCGATGGTGCAGCGTTCTTCCGTGTTCCTGCTTATCATTCATCTACGATGACGCATTTCGCGGCCTTCCAGTGTCCCTTAGTTTATCTTCGTGCCACAGTCTGCTGTAGAAACAACGCTGAAATAGATTAGCGTCGATGTCTGGAGGATTTTGTCAAAACTTTGACATCTTTTATAGGCTGATATCCACAAATTCTATATATTTAGGCATATTATGTAAACTTTGATCTGATTTTGATGGAGTTATTGACTGGAAATTATTAAAGTATACGCGTTTTAACAAGATGATTATTGCCTTTTTGAGAGCAGTAATTAAACATTTCTCATTCGCGGTTTGAGATTTTATTTACAACTTTGAAGAAAGAACTATCTTGCAAAAACTGCGTAAGCATTGTTTTTCTATTATTAGTACCTTTATAATAAGCGCTTATAGGATTTTCGTGATTTTTGATGCTGTTCTTTTGTTTCGTACCGATAGCGTCGTCTCAATTCTTATCTGTCATTCACGAGGAAAAGAGCAGCTGCTCAATTGTCAGCAATAGATGTTTTTCTCCAACACTACACACTAAAGCAGTTTTTTTCTCTTTAAGGCGGCGTAATAGACTCCAAAGCGGTTCTTTGCGTCTGCATCCTGGCAACGGAGCACCTTTTCCCCCTTTTCTAATTTGAGGTATGCAATCTAAATTTGCTGCAAACTAGTGTTGAATCTTCTGTCATTTTCTGTTTACTGTGCCGAAATTTGTAGTTTGCGACTATCTTATCAACAATGCCAGGTCACATCTTGCATTACCGATGTGTTTGCGGGATCAGTTGGCATAGTTCAAGGTCGCTCGCGTCTGCATTTCTTTCTGCCCCTCAATTTTTGTTCTGTCATTGACTTATGTCTTACTATAAACAATGCTGTCTTTAGGTGTTTAGTTGTGCACAGTTTTTTATCGTCGTCATTTTTCGATTTTTTGTTTGTCGCGAGTGGCGCTACATAAATGTCAAATTGTGGCACTTATAATTCTGTGTTTTCAGGTACAAAATGGCGATGCCACGGCGTCCAGAGCCACGTAAGAAGAAAAGTGGAGGCTTTGCAGGGATGAATCTTAACAGAATTTTGGCAGGTCCAGGCGCCTCCACTATTGATCTCGCAATGGTAGCAATAGGCTCAATCGTAGCAACATTTGTACTTATGCGATTTTTTGGAGACAAAATGACGACGGGGCCAAGTGCGCAACTGGTTGGTTTTAGAATTTTCTCAGAAATACCAAAACTTTCTTCACTAATTTGATTTTTGTAAATCCATTCCTTATAGGACCCCGCCTACAATTATAGTAAACTCTATAAACCTCGAAATCTTGCCAATGGAGCAATAGAATACGACATACTTGCCGTATCTGATCTCGATCATGATAGTAAAGTATCAAACAAAAAATGGCAAAGCATGGCCAAACGTGGAATATTGACAGTAAGCAAAGACCAGAAGAAAGTATCTGTGGATTGGAGGCCAGAAGCATCGTATACGTTGTCCACGTAGGTTTTTGAGACACCAGGTTTTTTTTCATAGATCTTTTTTCTCTCATTTTTTGTTTCTTTGTTTAGAGAGATATCATCTGGTGGCCGTGCTATGGAACTGTCTGACTTATGCGTTTACGATGGGCGATTGCTTGCTGGAGATGACAGAACTGGCTTGATATACGAGATTCGGGATGATATGGTAAGTTGTTTCTGCATTATGCCTAATATATTCTCTCTCAGTTTCTCAGCACTTCCTAATTTCAAAATAACACTCATCATTTCATTTTTGTGGAGATGCAAAAGAATGGCAATGAATCATTTTCAACGAAGGTGGTATACCAACATTTCAGGCCTACCCATGGCTTCTTCTTATCGATGGTCCTGGCAATGCCACGAAAGGCTTGAAAGCTGAGTGGCTCACTGTAAAGGGCGACAAACTCTATGTTGGAGGCCTTGGCAAGGTATTCCATTGGCTTTTATCCAGTACAATGTGTAGTGTTTGGTTCAGGAATGGACAACAACTGATGGTGTTTATGTCAATGATAATCCTATGTGGATAAAAATAATTTCACGTAATGGACAGGTGCGTATTGTTTTTACATCACATATTGATATTATCTTATATATAAAGCTGAATGTCTGTTTGTCTGTATGTCTGTCTGTCTGTATGTATGTATGTACGTATGTTCCGAATAGAAAATTCCATTTCTGAACCGATCCGGACCAAACTTGGCACACATACACTTCGGGCCCCGGCGCGTGTCATAGGCTACTTTTCGTCATCGATCGATATCGATTTTATCGATTTTTTGCAAAATTTGAGCTACGGGGCTGGGAGTTGGCAAAGGGGGTAAGTGAGCATGGGGATTCCGAATACAATATTAGTTTTTAAAATCGTGCATTACTTTTATCGATTTTATCGATTTTTTTTTGCAAAGTTTGAGCTACGGGGCTGGGATTTGGCACAGGGGGGTAATCGAGCATGCTGATCATCCCCGTGGGGGTGATCAGCATGCTCGATTACACCCCCTGCCAAATCCCAGCCCCCTAGCTCAAATTTTTTTGCAAAGTTTGAGCTACGGGGCTGGGATTTGGCACAGGGGGGTAATCGAGCATGCTGATCATCCCCGTGGGGGTGATCAGCATGCTCGATTACACCCCCTGCCAAATCCCAGCCCCCTAGCTCAAATTTTGCAAAAAATCAATAAAATCGATAAAAGTAATGCACGGTTTCGAAAACTAATATTGTATTCGTAATCAGCATGCTCGATTACCCCCCTGTGCCAAATCCCAGCCCCCTAGCTCAAATTTTGCAAAAAATCGATAAAATCGGCATCAATCGATAACGAAAAGTGGACTGTGACACCCGCCGGGGCCCGAAGTGTATGTGTGCCAAGTTTGGTTCGGATCGGTTGAGAAATGGAATTTTCTATTCGGAACATACGGCGGAGCCGGGTAAGCCAGCTAGTTTGTCAATATATTAGCACAATCTATCTGTTCATTATCTGTATAATTCGTGTTCTTATCTGTATAATTCGTGTTCCCGTGTAGGCTAAAGCAGCTGCTTATAAATGTCAATTTCCGTTTTGCAATTCAGTCATGATTGCAATCATCTGATTCTTTGGTACTTCATTGTAATTCATGACTGATTTCGCTGATGTAGGGATGCAACGTTTTTATGTACCGTTGGCAGAATACAAAACGAGCGGCGCGGTTGTGAACGGCACGTGCTTGTCATGATTGAATTAGACAAAAATGGCTCAAATTTCTAGTTCTCAATTTTAAAAACGGCTAAGTCCATCACAAATTGTTTCGAGACATGGCTAACACCAACTTTATATATTGATCTCTCCACCCATCTCCCCATTTCCCATAGGGTCGACTAGAGTACGATTTTTGACGAGGTTGTTATTTTCTCCGTTTATTGGCAAGAATGGATGATGCCGTTTTAAACTTTCGATCGATGTCTTAGCTTAGAAAAGTTCTCCAAACCCGAATGATTGTTTTCGTTGTAGCAGTAGCTGGTAGTTGTTGCCAAAGTCAAAGTTTCTTGTCCCAAGTCCACATCCTCCACATCCCAATCAATATATGCCATGCTTTAAACTGACTTTTATTTTCCAAACAATCTGCCTCAAAATGAATTCTTTCATCCCTTCAGGTAGAGCATGTGTTGTGGAAAGATATTTTCGTGAATGTCCGGCGTGCTGCTGGCATAGAATATCCTGGCTACTTGATCCATGAGGCTGTGCAGTGGTCTGATGAGCATCAGAAATGGTTCTTCCTCCCACGAAGAGCATCTCATGAAATATATACAGAAGCTGCGGATGAGACTAGGTGTTTCTTTGTTTTTGTCAATGTTACATCTGGATTGTTGCTTTCCAGAGGAACAAATCTTCTTATAATTGCGGACTCGACCTTCTCAACATTTGAAGTAGTAAAAATAGGAGAGATCACACATCCAGCTCGGGGCTTCTCAGCCTTTCAGTTCATTCCCGATACCAAGGATAACCTCATCGTTGCCCTGAAGTCCGAAGAAAAGGATGGAAAGCCAGTAACTAGTTATATAACAGTATTTGACTTGAAAGGAAATATTCTGTTACCCGATACTTCCCTCAATGACCCTTACAAGTTCGAAGGCATCGCATTTGTATAGAGGTTGTAGATTCGTTAATATCAGTTGTTGATTCGTACTAGGATTCGCATTTGTGCCCATACTTGAGAGATTTTCTCATTGCATTTCGTGATCTGATATTTTTCACTTTGGTTGTGATAATGGTACTACGAGTTGAATAAATATGAATTTTTACAAGCGTGTTACATGGTGAAGGTGGGTAGCGAACAAACTTTGCTATTCTCAAGTTTTTTTAGGAACTCGTATCGTCTCAAATATGTGTTTTTAGATCAAATCAACATCGCACATAAGAAACTCATCAAAGGATCGCGTATCAAATGGGGAGATGCACATGAACGCGCTTTTCAGTTCAATCTTGGCAACGCAGAGTTCAGTTGTGGCGCAAAGCTAGATGAAGTCAGTCTTTTTCATACTCGTTTCTGAGTTTGCAAAAACTTTTTATCTCAGTATTTCATCTTCAGGTCTCCTGGAGAAACTGGGACCAAAACGAAGCCGTCAATCAATTTGCCGGTGCTCATGCGCTTCTTCCAGATGGATGCGTCGACCTTATAGAGAAACTTGCAGAAGGCACAGATATTCGATTTGAGCATGAGGTATCATAAAATCATTAATCGTTACAGCATTGTGCGTTTTTTTGTGACTTCAAATTCCCTTTTTTTCAAACTTCTTTTGATTCTTTTCTTGGAAACTGTGTTTTATAGGTGCGCACCATCGATTGGCCGCGAACCAGAAAATCGGTCACAGTGACATGCACAAATGGCAAAAAATTTTCTGCTGATAAGGTAAACTACCGTTATCGAAATGGCATGTAGAGATCTTTGAGCTTCACCGTGTAAAAGTTCATGGTTCTGCTTGTTATCTTATCTTACGACACAAATCACAATGCTCGCCGTATATTTGTTTATACTTTGAAATTTTCGTTTGCTCAAGAAAATAGAGTTGCAAGTGCCTTCTTCTGTTTTCCTGTTAGCTCTGTAAATTATAGTACCCTAATTTCACGCGTACAAGGCGCGGGGTGGTCCTAGCTTTCATCGACCAGCCCGAACACGGCAAAGGACTCGCAACCAAAGGAACCCCATACCGTGCTGCGTTTTGCCTGACGAATCGTACGGCATAAGGATCGCTTCTTAAAACACGTTGGGGCGGCTGAGCAGCTCGATGAAAGCTAGGACCACCCCGCGCCTTGTACGCGTGAAATTAGGGTACTCGACAAATGACAATAGTTTTACTTCAGGTTTTGATAACCGTTCCCTTGGCAGTGTTGCAAAAGCATGGAATCAGATTCAATCCCAAACTGCCGGACAAAAAGTTGAAAGCGATGAGGTATATCGGAGCAGGGCTCATAGAAAAGGTAAGTCGGGTAATTGTGCCATTTTTTAACTGCAGATCTTTTTTCTGAGCTGCTAAAATGTGCTTTCGAAGAGCAATTCTATGTTTTAGGTTGCTGTGCGTTTCCCACGTTGTTTCTGGAACGCGCTATTGAAGAAAGATGGAACTTTGGACTATTTCAGTAACGCGCCGCGCAAAAGCAGCGAGCGAGGACTGTTCAACATGTTTTACGATTTTTCAAAGAGGGTTAGTGACTGAGATAGCGCTATAAGTTTTATTGCCACTGTAGAAGTTCAGGATGCTAATGGTGTAGCTCCATATTATGTTCTGATGTCATATGTATGTGGAGATTCCGTGAATCTGGTGAATGAACACACTGATGAGGAAGTTGGACAGATTTTTGTCGATACCTTGAAAAAGCTGTTTCCCAATGAGGTGGCTAGTTTGCCCTTTTGATTTTGTATCTGTGGAATCTGTTTTTTTCTTTATTTTTCCTTTTTAAGGATATCCCTAAACCAGACGGAGTGGTAGTATCTCACTGGGGACGCGATCCCCATATTGGAATGTCCTACACATATGTGCGTATAGGAGGTACAGGAGCACATTATGATGCTTTAGCAGCTCCCGTAGATGCACGGCTCTTTTTCGCAGGAGAAGTAAGGGATATCTTCCTTTTATGCTTGATCTTTACTTTATTGTAAATTTTAGGGTACAAATCGCTTTTTCCCACAAACAATGACCGGGGCTTATATTAGCGGGCTTCGTGAAGCTGGTCGCATTATAGAATCTTGTCATAATGAGATATGGATAGATTAGATTCCATTTTTTTGGTTCTAAGTCTTTTATTTTTTTTCACACTTTCCTTTCTCATTTGACTATGGTTTTCAACAATGGTTTAGCTTCTAAAGTTATTTATTTCCTTTTTTGTTGCCAAACCTTCCCGTTTTTCTGGCCTTTCGAATTTTTCTGCATCAATATGAGCTCTTAACTAGTTGATTCTGTACAACTAACCTCTTTCTTTGGAATACCAAAATTAGTTTTGTGATGTTTCTGACAAAGGTCTTGTGATTTCTTGCTAACTTTTCCTAGTACTATTTCTTCTGATCTCAGAATGTATGTTTGTAAATGTCATCATAAATTATGCAAGCACCTAATTGTACGAATTCGGAACTGTGTACAAGTTAGGCTGCCGACGAAGTGCACCTTTTCCATCGCTTGCACTTGAAGGCAGCGTCCGAGCAAAAACGAAAATGTAGAGTACAGGGGCGCCCGGCCTGGTAAGGCTCTTGCCCCAACTGGCAATGCATCAGTTTGCTTCTGAAGCGAGAAAACCGCCTCAGAAGTGGCGACCAGAACGCCCCGGCGACCGGGGAGAGTTAGTTCGATAAGCCAGAGTGCGCATACCGCACACAGTCAAGACGTAGGGTCCCGCAAAGACTGCGTCTTAACTTTGGCGGCAGGAGACAAAGGTCAAATAAGAGCTTCTGGAAAAGCCCGTTTTTGACATTTTCGTGCTCTCCGAGCTGCATTTTTGGAATCAGCTGGAAGGATAAGCCCAGATAAGCGAAAGAAATTCCATCCGAAATCTTGCCCGGACACTGCCTTTAATGAATGTGTAAAACATAAAGTGCAAAATCAAAATGCAGGACATGCGTTGATTTTGTGAGGTCGAAATACGGAAGGAGATGCCCACGGTTGGAAGAATAAGTGAAAAAATTCATGGGCGGTTATCGTGCTAGGGCTCGCTGTACTATTTATTTTTGAAACCTGATATTTTGTGATCAAGACATTCACGAAAATGCACCTCCCACGAGATCGAGTAGGTTCTTGATGACATATCCCTCAAAGATTACAAGAAGCGCGGCGTTCATCATGCCCATAGGTATACCACAATGACGACGTGCACACCGCAACTTACAGCATCTATGAAGTTACGTAGTATTAAGGTAACAAACGCAAATTTGACTAACCTGAAAATCCACTCAAGAAATTGGCTGATTTTTGGCAGCACAATAATGATGAGAATCGCTGTGCCAACAATAATGAGATTTGTGGTGACGTATACAACTGCAATCATTTTGCGTCAAGTAAGTACACGATAACCCAGGACCAGGCTAGATTTATACTTCATTCACCGACGCAGACAATGAACATACAGTTTGTGTCAACGACATGCTCTCTTTTCAACCCGGCTATAGCTCTGCTCTCCTTTCGCGTGCGTTTCGCTTGAGTGTTCAAAATCGCCGCATCGATCCCAGATCGCCGCGCATGCGTAGTTGCTACAGTATGCCCCAATCCCAACCAGGCCAAAAGTGGCATGACGGGAACCCGTGTCGCGAGGGTATTGTGTCACGTCGACGGCTAGCCAGTCTGCTCTCTCCTCAATCTCTTGTCTGCGACAGCGCGCGTATGCAGCGCAGAACCTTAGCGTTGCGAGCGCGCAAATTCAGCCGGCGGTTCGGCCTGATCCCGATTGGGGCAGACTGTATGGAAAACGGAGCGCGTGTTTGACACAGATTGTATATTGTGCAAGTTGCTGTCTATACTTACAAGTAATAGTTTCCAAAGAATCAACTCTTGCATTGGTTTTTGCGGTGATAGTATCTAACAAACCGTGAGACTTACTCAAATTCGGAATAATCTTCGTTTTTGGAATGTTCTCAGCAACGATGCCAATCATCACCGTAGTAGACATTATCGTGGTGAGACCCATGCAGAACTAAAATGTTTTCACGAAGTCATCCTATTTTTTCTTGGCTATTCTCTAACCTTATCCAGATCGTCCACAATCAACGACGAGCTGAAGAGCCCTGCCACACATAGAAAAGTCAAAATGAACGATGGAATGATGATAAGCGCAATATAGTAGCTCGGATTTCTCTTCATATAAAATGTAAATTCATTCTAAAATACAATAGTATCTGCATTGAATTACCTCACAAATATCGCAATTTGTCGACCGCAGGGATTGGCCCTAGCTTGCGGAGCACGCGCGGCGCAGTCGAAATGTCATTTGAGTTGTACAGCAACTTGCGGTGGTACAAGCGGTCACGTGGCGCATGCTCCGCAACTACGGCCAGACCGTGCGGTCAACGTCTTGGCGATACCTATTTTTTGGTCACTTACCAGCTGAACGGCTTCACCATTGCTACTGTTTAGCTGATCATTGCAGGAAATGATATTGGTAACCTCCCATTCATCATTACCCTGTTCAAGATATACAATTTTGTGGTGTAAATGTTTTTAGATTATTCATACCACAGTGCTTATATCCAAATCTTCAAAGATAGCATTTTGTAGTTTGATTTCGTGTCTGTAAAATGAGTAAGATAGAAGCTTCAGACTGCAGTTTTGATGATCGAAAGGGAAGACTGTGACCTGGAAATACGTAGTTGCGTAGTTATAGGAGAAACAGTCTGTCCTAATCGAGATCAGACCATAATTGGTGCGGAGGGTGTCAGCGTCGCTAGTTTTCTGCGTCACGCTTACGGTTTGCTTGTCTGCGCTCTCTTCAATCTCTTCGCTCTCTCCGAAGTGCGCATTTATAGCGCAAACCTCTAGCACTGCGATCGCGCAAACCTGAAGGCTAGTGCATGACGAAGGCGCTCGAGCAGTATTAGTTGAGCGGGCGCGAATGCAGCGCACGCTTATCCTCACCGTTGTAAATCCTGCGCCTCATGCGCTCTGCGGCTAATAGCCGCGTTCGCGCCCAAAGATATTGCGCCTTCGTCATGCAGCAGCGTATAAGTCAACGGTTCGACCTGACGATTGGGGCATAAATTAATTGTTCTAGATTTCAATAAGCCCTGAAGGAGTGCGCGTCTATGGTTGACAAAATTATCGAATGATTCGATCAAAACTTTTCCAATAAAAGGCGCCTTCAGAATGACAGGTTAGAACAACTAGGGGCAGTAGGAGCAGTAATATCAGAATAAGAAAGAAACAAAATGTTAAAAATAAAATCAGTTTTCAATCAATGGAATCAACTTATCAATCTGTGAATGGCTATATTTTGTAGAGTTATCCAAATTAATTTTTGTGCGGTTTTTTTTGGTGGCGAAGAGACGAGGATGGGGGAGGGAGGAGGGGGGGGGGGGGCGAGTAGGCCGTAAAGGAAAATTTATTCCTGCGATTCTTCCCTTGCCTCTTTAATTTTCAAACAGAAAAACTGTGTCGCCATCACAGGCGACTACTGCATGCAAAGTCTCTTTGATCTAAGGCGGACGCGAAGGGTGGAGCAGGAGATTTCCGCTTTTCCCATACAAGCGCCCCTTTCCTAGCCATTTATAAAAGCACGTCCGGCCAAATTGAGGATTATTAGGTTTTGATGCTGCATAGTAGCGGGGCCTTAAGTAAGCAACCGCCAAAGTTTTTGCGAAAGATGAACTCCCAAGCGAGAATACAGCTCCAGAAGGTAGAAGCGGCCGCGCTGGCTCCGCTCATAAACGTGAATGGGCTAAAGAACAAGTCCAAAATTGAGCTCCAGGGTAGAAGAAAGGTCGTAAACTTGATGATCACTAAAGGGCGAATTTGTGACGATTCTGGATACACCAAAGATCAAGTTTGCGCATATTAATTTCGGACCGCAGAGATTGGTGGGGCAACATGGCTGCAGCGGTTTTCTCTTAGTATTCATCTTTCGCAGCGAGACTTGGGTGATTGCTTAACTAGGGTCCCCGAAATTATACAGTATGGAAATCTCGTTACCCTCAATTCGTGTGGACAGTGCCTGCAAGCTTTAAGGTGTTCTATTAGGTCGGTGCAAAAGTTTTGTCAGTTTTTTCAATCCCTCGGCAAACACGCTGTAATGAAGATAAACAAACGCTTCAAAATGCATCCAATGCAAAATTTCTTCGTCTTTCCAGCTGCTAAACTCTCACTGTGTTTCGTTGAGACAATGACGAGATATTTGCTGAAAATTAGAACAACTCATTTTTACCATGTCCAACTTTCACCGATTTTCAGAATTTTTGTATGAGACTTTCGCAGGAGCCCTAACAACCAGCAGATAGGGCAAAACTTTTGCCAACTTACGCAATTTTTTTCTTATATTCAGCTGCTTTTTCTTTTTACTAAATAATTTTGAAAAACCCTTGTGTTTTGGAAAAATCGCATAACCTGTTATTGCACCAAACACTGCAAAACCTACAGAATACTAAGTTTTCAACACTCGATTATTACTACCGCGACTATTACAAAGTGAATGAGCGATTTTCGCTTCAAATTATGAAGATTTTGAAACATAGGTTACGTCAGTGCGCACTCCTGAAATTGAGAAATACTGTGATTTTCCCCACAAACTTCGCCTGCCTCGGCAAAAATAGACAAGTGTCAGAAAGAGGAGAAAAATTTGCATCGAATGGTGACTGAAGTTTCAACATTTTATGTTCTACGAGGTTAAAATAGGCTGGATGTAAATTTTGGTCACTTCAAAAAATAAATCGTAGAAATTCTGGAAGACAAGCCGTAAGGCGACAAGAAATTGCTCCGGTCGGCAAAAGGTTTCCCCTATCTGCTGGTTATTAGTGCTCCTCCGAAAGACTCATGCAAAAATTCTGGAAATTAGCTAAATTTGGACATGGTAAAAACGAGCGGTTGTAATCTGCACCATACATCTCGTCACTCTCGCAATAAAGCACAATGGGGGTATAGCAGCTGAAAAGAGGAAGAAATTCTGCATGGATACATCTTGAAACGTTTGTTTATCTTCATTATAGCGTGTTTGCCGATGGATTGAAAAAACCGACAAAACTTTTGCACCGACCTAATATTATGCTGCCACTTCCTTTTAAAAAAAGGAGGTTTCTCCCTCGTGAGTCTAGGACAGAGCAGCCCCTACTCTGCGAGTAGAACTTACATCAATTGGACAGACGACTGATGTGACAACAGATGTGTAAAAACTTGCAAATCCTCGGTAGTCAATCTACAAATGTTAAAATATGGCATTCAAAAAATCAAAAGCTCTTTCCTACGACGAACAGGAACATGTTGCTTATAGTCCGGTCGCGTATCCACAACTTCCATGCTGAAAAATTTTTCAATGTTACAAGTTGCATTGCATAGCTGCATGATATACCTGTCAAACGGGGTAATTTCGGGAATCCATACATTATCTCTCAAGACATAGATATGTTCGATACCATCAAACTCTTTTGGGTCCCAAGCTAAACGTTCGTCTTCCCAAATCTACAACAGATACCTAAGACACAATTACAAATCTGAAATGAAGAAATGAATCGAAGTTCGGAAAAGGCCATAAAAAGTTCAGAAAGTTCTTTTATGTTTGTTACGCATCCAACCAGTGCAGTCTAGAATAACAGAACTAACCATTGCATATTCGAAGATTACGGTCATGAGTTGACGTGGTGCGCTCTAAACACGGTATGAACAAAATCAACTTTGCAGTTTTTTCATTGACTCTCGCTGTCTTTTATTTTTTTTTCGAATAAATTAGCTAGATAATAATCCCGGACAGTTTGACGTGTGCTCTGCTAAGTCTATGGATGTCTACAACAGGAAGGGGTAGTGGGAGCAGATGCACTCATACAAAAACAGAACACTTCAAAAAAATATCTGTTCGGGTGTCTCTTGATTTCCGGTTTTACAGAGATTGTAGCATTTGTTTCTTTTCTTTATTGAGTGCAGCTTGCACTGTGCTATACACATTTTAGAAACTGAATAAGAATACCCACCACTTCCATAAGCTTTGCGTACATCAGTGTGATTAATATTGTACTTTCAAAGTGATCGAGGTCAGTAGCATTGCGTCTTCCTCAAACGCTTACCTTTTCAAAGTAGGAGTAGATAAATAAAACAAAATCGTGTACTAAACCTTTGGTGTAGATCGGCGGAAGATTAGCATTGTACGTGGAAAAAATATGCTGGTAGAGTCTCTCATTAGCAGCCAGAAAGTCCTTTTTTGCCTTTTTTCCAGCTGCAATGGAGGCGTTCAGAAGGTGAATGAAAATTAGCTTGGAAAAAAACTTACCGAGGGCTTCTTCGTTTTTGCCACTTATCTCTGAAGAATATTGAGATTCGACATGATAAACTAGTGTGAAGAAGAACAAAAAGCTAGATGTCATACTAATGCAGGTGACATTGGATCGAGAAAGGTAATTTAATCTTCTCGAAGGACAAAGAGCATATAAGCCGCATCCGGATGACCTATGAGCTCAATCAAGCAAATAATTCTCGCTACCCTAAAAACGAAATGCCATCTTTTTTATTGATTACGAAATTATTTTTTATTGGGAAAATCAAAGTTATTTTACTGTAGATCACTTCCTTGTATGGTGGCATAACGATACCAATGTTGTCGAGCACAGCGATCAAATTCGATCCGCATCTAACAAATTTACGACACTACGATCCATCGGTGAGTCGTAAAATTTCCTGAAGCTTTAACTTTATCTATAAATTAATTTCCATGGGGTTTTGGCAGATAATAGGGGACCAGGACTCGGCACAGGTGGCTTCGCAAGCAAGCTTGATATCGTTTTTGGGGAAAAGCAAAGAAGATATCGTTTTTGCGGTAGAGCATAACGTTGTCTTTCGGTCTGCGGCCGGCACGCTGCCGGCATGCCGCTAGCAAATAAACAAAAGGTTTGTTTACAGCGAAGTGAAGATGAAATGACACCAAAATCGGTGTGTAGATGGGCAATGGGGAGTTAGGACTAAGTATGAAAAATTATGAGAAAATTATGTGAACAAAGGTGTGCTCAACTTTTTTTCGGAGTTAGGTGGCTTTCAAGCCACCTGGTTAGCCACCTGAGGTGGCTTAGATAAGAAAAAGTCATAAATTTTTCCTCCCTCACATAATTTTTCTACTTTCTTTACAAACTTTTCATCTACATCCCAAACCCTACAAACTGGTTCCTGAGCCGCCTCAAACCCCCTTCTCTCCGCTTAGTTATAGCCAATTGAAAATTTTGAATGGCCGCGGAAAGGCTGCTCTAGGCGCATATTGCTGCACGATGGATACATCATGCCGCCATTCCGGAGAATATGAATATCATCGTGTGTGTTCGATGATTCTTTTTCGTTTTTTTTTCTGCTGTTGCTTTGTTCCGTTCCTTTTCATGTATTTTCTCTTCGAATATCTCGTGGCGGATGTCGTAATTTTATTGAAGTCAAAGGGGACTTTATTTTTTGCAATTTTGGGACACCACCTCGTGCCGAGCCGTGGTCTAGGGTCAAAGGGGACTTCGTAAAAATTTGCAAAAGTCAAGGGGGACTTCGTTTTTTGCATTTTCAACTAGCCACCTCGTGCCGAGCCCTGTGGGGGACACCTAGGCGAAGCTGCAGCCAGTGGTCCGGGCTCGGTATACAGCAAAGTGATGTTACGGTAGTACCTTAGATAGAGACAAGTAAAGACTTTAGTTCAGTTTTTCGGAGAATGATACCGTTTCTAGAAAGTCGAGTGTACATGCACAGGAAACAT